CAACGACTCTAACTACGCAATAGTATACGTATATGTCATAAACGTATATTCCTTCACAATCACTCTAGCAGGTTGGTCTTCAGCGTCAACATCTTCTACGTTCATGTCAACACTCAATGGTAATGGCACAGCATCTGCCTCATCACTGTCTGCCTCAGTGTATCTCCTTGAAGGCCCTCTCATAACCACATACCAATTTGAAGACTCGTCCTCTCTGGAATAGAATATTTGCTTAGCTTGAGATGCCAGAATGAATGGATCCCTTGCGAAAGAGACTTGACTTTGGTTCAAGTTGACCAACGTAAAACCTTCGTCCACCTTCACACCGTTGCCTCTGACCGCCCATTGACATCGGAATAGAGGTATGTAGAATACGTTGTAGTCTAATAAGATAATGTCCACCACTCTGCCATAATAAGAAACCAAATCCACGATTTGGGAAGTGTCTCTTGCACTGGCTCGACACATTGCAGTTGCTTCATAATATACTCCACTGTTTTGCGTTTGTCTCTGAACTGATGTTGTGTGAAACCGCAGACCATTAACAATGTAACCAGTGTATTTCTCTTTGTCTTCTTGCTTGGCTTCTTGTGATCATAAACCTGAAAACAAAGACAGAACTTGAAAGGTGATCAGTAAAATAAAAGAAACTTGATCTCAAAAACTAGATTAGAAACTAATGCTAACAATCCCCACACAATATGGCAACGGCGCCAATTGATAACTAGGGTTTTTAAATGTCTTAGATGGGTTATCAATCCCCTTGTCAAGGTAGTATAAGGGGTGTCAATCCATATGTGTGGTAGTTAGGCACTAGTTTATAAGACAAGTTCTTAAGTCAAGTGAAACAAGAAAGATTTGGTGACAAGTAACAACTGAAAATATAAACAAGAAACAAACAAGCAATGATAAGGAAGTAATTAAAGCAAGCTCAACAAGATGATGGTGATAATAAAGATGATAAAAGCTAAACCTCTAGATGTGATCATTGATTAGGTGCTTTAGATATTGAATCATGATGCTAAGAACATAATGCAACACTTGCTACTCTTTAGTCTAGGCTTCTTAATCAGATTAATTCATTCCCATGACAATAATCCCTTTGCTGATCACTTAATCAAGTCTAACAACCATTAGATATAATCAGGCAATCAACAAGCATAATGCATCAAGCCTAATAAGTGACCAAACAATCTCTCAACCAAGAAGACTGAATCTTACACAGAAAGACATAGCAAGCAATCACATGATCTCAAACATTTCAACTTAGAACTCTAATCTAGACTAATCCTCTCATGAAGGCATTAATCTCTACACTAATCCACTTTCAAACCAAATCATCATTTGTGAAATATGAATCAATAAGCATTAAGAAACAGTTCTAATATGTCATTCATGCATTTAACAAATCATTCCCATGATGAAAAAGGCATAAACCCTTAAGTTAGCTCATTCAGGCATTTCATCAAACACCTTGTGGGTGGAGAAATGCCTAAGTTCTAGATCAAGCTTATAATGAGAGATCTAGCATTAAGAGCAGCTAACTAAGGAAATGAAATGAGAATCTAGACCCTAAACATCACAAATCAAACATCTAAACACCCTAATCTACACACCTAGAAGCTTAAAAGATGACTACTCACTAATCATGAAGAACACATCTACTCTTTTGCAAGAGATGATGTTAATCATGATTAGAAGCAGAAATGAGATGATGAGATGGTAAGAAACAGACTTAGATTGATTAAATCCTTCAGATATATCTTAAAAAACTCGTTTTTTAACAAAAGGGGAAAGAAAATTAGAGAGAAACTTAGATAGAAGATAAGATATTAGGGTTTTCTCCAAAAAGCTATATATACTAAGTGCTAATGGACCGGGTCAGCCCAAGACAAACTGGATCCTGACCCGGCCTTGATGGATAGTGGTGTGGTTTGCCACGGTCAGATGATGCTTGGCCAGACCGTGGCAACCTGATAGTGTCAAAGTTCTTGGACAGATTCTTCATGATCAAGGTTGCCATGGCTTGATTTACACCATGTCTAGTGGCCGTGTCTCTTCTTTTCTGGGTTTGGGTGATGAACTTCTTGGATTGACACGGTCTAGTTGCTCTTGGTCAAGCGGTGGCAAGTGGTCGTGTCAAACGCCGAAGAAGTGTACAAAGTTGCCACGGCCAAGTCCTAGGCCGTGGCATGGAAACCGTGTCAAATGCCGAATGTTTGTAAAATCCTTCCCGGCCAAATGTTACTTTGCCACGGTCAAGTGTAGACCGTGGCATTAAGATCGTGTCAAACGCCGAAGGACTGCAATTAAGTGTCACGGTAAGGTGTGGACCGTGACATTCCATCGTGGCATCTTTCCCTTAGTTCGCATCGTTCAGGGCTCCTCGGACCACTTCGCGTTCAGGGAAGCGTAACTTCTAAGATATTTGTCCGAATTGTATGCTTCCGGTTTCAGAGGATAGAGGACTCATATATCTTCAACTTTGGTGTAGGAAGCTTCGGTGCTTGGGAAGTGGAAGGTTTCCTGGAGGGCTCATCTTCGCAGTGCATTTACACGATCAGAGAACAGCGTCTAGACATGTGTCCATTCCAGAGGCGTTATCTTCTTGCTCATAGCTCCGAATTGAATGCTCTCGGACGTTATGGAAATAAGACTCAATTATCTCGGATTCTGATGAAGGCCCCGTAAACTGAATCGGTTTGGAAGTGAACCGTCCTTCGCATTCTTCGAAGCTCATCGGCTTGGTCCAAAACGGCAGTGAGGCAGGAGTTTCTTTCGACGAGCTGAACTTTCTGATCACGCCTCCGAATCCTATGATTCTACTTGCTCTGGAACCATGATCCAAGTTTCTCCAACTTTGATCAAGCCCTCGACAACTGAATCGGAACGGAAGGTTTCCCGGGCAGGCGATCATTCAGGAGTATCGGATTGCTCCGGAATGGATGCGAGAGAGGTCTGTCTTCCGGTGACCGTATCTTTCAGCTCCGTTCTCCAAATGCCCTGATTCAACCTGTCCTGGGCTCTTGACCCAATTATCTCCAACTTTTCTGAAGACCCTGTAAGCTGAATCGGCCGGCAAGAGCTTCCGGTGACGCGATTTCGGAAATGTATCTGCACCCAAGATTTTTGGCCGAGAGACTTGATCGTGGTACGTGTTTTTGGCCGAGAAAGCTACCCGCGGGAAGGATTTTGGTCGAGAATCTTCGGCCATCAGTACATCATTTTGCCGAGAAACCCAAAATTGCTCCTTTTCACCATTTTTGATAAGTTCAACTCCATTTCTTCATCTGAATCACATCCTCCACTCCAAATAAACTCCAAAAGCACCGGTTTAACACTCCAAAACATGCAAAACTCTCTTTGACCTAATGCAATCTCCTAAGTCCTAAAACAATGCCTAAAGATCTCAAATGCATGCAAATGAGACATGATTTGGACTAGAATATGTACATTAAATGATGCAATTTATGAATATATCAATTTTCGATGATGTTAAGCTCATTTTCCAAATATATGGGCTTAGCATCATTCTTGGAAAGGAGAGATGTTGCCTAAGAGAGGATCACTCAGCAGTTCTTGGCTTCTTTGGACGTGTTCATCTATCCAAAGAGAGATCCCAAGAGATTACACGGCAAAGGGTTTGGGCATATTGAGTTTTCAATTGATGGAGTCGGTTACAAAGTGAGCTTCAAAGAGATTGATGAGATATTTGGCTTTGTGAGGAATGAGAGCTCTATGAAGAAGTTTTTGTACCCTAAAGAAGTGGTTGCTGCTCTGTGGGACACCATTGCTTTTGAACCGCATGTTGGAGGCAAGAGCAAGACAAGCTGCTTAAGAAACCCGGCCATTAGATATGCCAACAGAGTCTTGGCGTGCATGTTCTTCTCAACTTAAAACCCCGGAGTCATTCATTTGAACGAGCTAGAGCTACTTGGTCTTGGCTTGAAGCCGCTTATCTCTAACACAAGGAACAAGAAGGAGTTTCAAGGACCAATCCATATACCTTCTTTAGGTGCATTCTTTGCCATTCAAATGCTCACTTACCGGCATAATGTGTGGTGTAACCGAACAAAGGAGGGAATGAGAAGGCTCCAGAATGGTTGGGTAGTGACAAAGATCCTGAGAGCAAGAGGCTTTGTATTTCCTGATACCAGAGCCAAACCAAGCCTAATTGATGAGAAGTACCTGAGCAAGAGCGGCTTCTTTGAAGGCAAGGTAGGGAACCAATGGGCTTACAACTTCAAGCTGTTGGATAGAGATGACACACGAGTCCTATTGCCCAACCAAGCCCTCACAACGCTACAGGAGAGACGCAATATCTCCTTCTTTCTACTCAAAGATCAGCTGTATATTCCATCAAGAGATGCCCCACTGCGCAAGGGAAT